CCCCACTCTTGGCCCCCGGGCCCGCACTTGATTTGCTGCCATCAGCTATTGGCAGCTTCTCATTGGCCCGCCTCGAATGAGCTCCAGCTGCCTCGGGCCAGTAACCGCTGAGGATCGTGACTGGAGGTGCAGCTCTGCAACCGCGCGACAATCACTGAAATTTCCAGGAAAGAGGAATTGATTATGGATCCCAAGGAGTCGCCTCGCATTCAGAAACAGCTCTGAATCAAGCTTGTTGATGGAGAACAAGGTTTGGGATCTGAAGAGCGCAATTTCGTTTTTTTCTACTCTTCACCGCTGCGCTCAAGTCAACTGCCGGGCCTGGGCAAGACTTGGGAATTCCAGCCTCGAACTTTGGTGCACTACAGGTACAGGACATTGAGGTTCACGAGTAGCCCATCTTGGCTTTGGAAACCCGGGCCTTAGTCAGAGCACCATTCCCATAAGCGAAGGTGTCAGCTTGCAGCCCCGAAGCCTGTCCATTCGCACTCGTCCGGTGCAGAGAGATCTGCCGTCAGCAAAGTTGCCTTTCACCGGCGAATCCTCCACATGTTCGTCCATGCTACTCGCCAAAGTGACATCTCAGCTCGACATCAAGCCCGTCAGCCGCCAGCCGCTACCACCACACTAGGCCGGGCCACCGCGGCCACGACAAGGCCCTAAACCCCCATGTGTCTGTAGGGCTGAAGAACCTGAAGAATCTTGGGGGCGTCAGATTGCCAGATGGCCAGATTGCTTGCCCTCGTCACATTGAGCTCCTGTCAAGCGCCCATCACCATTATGCAGACCCGTCCTCTATCCCGTGATAGGCGCCGCTGCAGAACGGACGCTAAGTAGCCGTCCTCCCGATCCCATCTCGCTTAGGTGCCTGTCCCTCTTCGCATGTCTGCAACGGGGCTCTTGACCTTCACACGTCTCCATCTTCATCTTACGTCTCTGCTGCATTGGCCGTTGGTTGGTATGTGGAAATGTAATCTTTCTATATGCACGTTGCTTTGGAATCAAACCAGACACGCTCTCAAATGCCCCATGCTTTGCCTGTATGTAAAATATGCAGTGCAGCGATGCTCATTTCACCATGCGGCCAACCCTGGCTATGGTATGGTATCCTGTTGGCCCGCCCAATTGGCCCCTGTCCAGTCGCGTTGCCGGACTTCGCGCTGCAGCCGTTGACAATTCGTCCACCAGCGTCAAAGTTTTTTTTTCCCTTCTTGCGGCGACGAAGAAACGGGCTGCAGCCTGCCGCGGCTATTGTCACGCATCCCCGAGGATTCCCGTGAGCTCCCCCGAGATCCTCTCCCATGCCCCGTTGATAGCCTTCTCCTAAGAAGCAGGAGATGCTCCTTACGCCTTCGGGTCGATGTCGGGGAAGAGGTGCTTAAGAAAGTTGCCTGTAAATCGCGTGCATTGCTCGTAGGCTTTTGTAAATCCCTCGTCGCCACCATAGTATGGGTCCGACACGGTCTCTGGCCTCTGCTTTCCGGAGAACTCGCCAAACAGCATCACCTTCGCCCTGGAGTCCGAGTGGGCACGCTGCTGTAGCCTCTGGAGATCCTGGAGGTTTGATCTGTCCATGGCGAAGATGTAATCGAACTTGTCAAAGTCGGCGGGCGAGACCTAATGGTAATCATGGGGCAGTCAGCGGCTATCCGGTTTTCACAAGCGCTATCGCATAGTAAAACGGGCGTACCTTGCGACTGGAGTGACGGTAGTCCATGATTCCATTGTCTTCAAGTGTCATCATCGTGCGCTCGTCTGGGGGATCGCCAACGTGGTACGCCGCTGTTCATTTCGTTCGTTCTTGTCAGCGGTGCTGTCCGGAAGTCGGGTTGTTTTTGTCATGACGTATGGCGCGTACCTGTACCGCAAGAATCCACCTTGGAGATGAGTCCCTTGTACGGCGGCTTCTGGGTAATGTGGCGGAAGATGCCCTCAGCCATTGTTGAGCGGCAGATGTTGCCGAGGCAGACGAAGAGAACGGAGACCGGTTGATCCGGCATATTTGCGATGTGAGGCTGGTCTCGTCTTGTTGCGGTGTGTAGTTGTCGCGTTGTGGAAGAAGGCTGACGGTTTGGCGTGTTGAGCCCGGACGGCTGCCCCGCGACGGCCGCTGCTAGGTCATTTGCAATGGAGGGGCATCTTTCTGCACCGTGAGCACCGTGGATGACGAACGATCGGCGCACGGACTGACACTGTGGGGGGTCCTCCCCTGCACGTGAGCTGTCAAGCTGCTCCTCGTCTTCTCTCTGCTTCCACCAACCGCGCCAACCTCATTACAACAAGCCTGGGAATTGGCATTTCAACCAACGAACTGGGCCTTTGGATCGTGAGCGGTTCAAAGGCGTCAATCTTCTGTTCAAGTCAAGTTCCGTTAAACCTTCATCCTACCCAGACTCAAAATGGCTTTGCTCGCGCCTCTGGCAGGCGCCTCTCGACCCTCCGATTAACTGCTGCCCAACGTCAAGACTGACAACTGGCACTTTCGGCTCCATCGATGGCCCCTCTGTCAACGTGGATCACCTCGAAGGCCTTGGCCTGGATTGAGTCTAACAACGAAACGGAATGAATGTCGGAGAAAGCCTTCAAGCGTGCCGCATGTATGACGATGGAGAACCGCGGTCCTGGATTTCGGCGGCGGCTTCTACACTAAAAAGTCGCGATCTCAACGGGAGGTCTGGACCACGTATCGACTACAATTGAAGAGACGCTTTGTCGTTACTTTCCATCGATCAAGTTGCGGCCGCATGCAGCAGTGGACGACAAAGAGTCGAGCAGATCATCTGGGGTCCTGTTGGCGTTCTTGTCCATCATGTTGCTCTCTCGAGATGAGGGCCGATGCATTCCGCACTTCAGCACAAACAGAATCCCGACCCTGCCGGCGATGAGCGCCTGTTGATGAGTGTTATCTGTCGCTAGCAGCTGGATGCGCCGTTGTTGGCAACAACCTGCAGAACAGAGATGTTCACGATTTGGTGTCCAGCAGACAGACGGAGCAAGATCGTGCCTGAGATAAGCTCGCCCAAGCCAAGCGAGGCCATTCAAGAAGCGGCCGGGCCTTTGAGACCAGTGGCGGCAGCTCGGATTCGGATTAACCCACGTGATAACGGATGTCTCGTATTGGCCTTTCTCATTCGTTCACCTTGCCTCAGCATTCCGTTTGCGTTCTTGCCATGACATTCAGGGCAACCGGCGGGATTAGACTTGCACTGCGCCCGAAGCGGGTTGCCCTAAACGTCCCGCCCCGACAGGCTGGTTAAGGTGCCTCCCGTCGGCATGAGAATTCTTCGCAACTATCGTAAAAGCAGCAGTCCATAATTTGCTTGGGGTTCTACCCAATCCTATCATGGCTCTGCTCATTCCGGTTGACGGGCAGTTCTAGTGCTTCTCCATCACGTTTCGGGGTGAGCAGCATGCCACGCCTCGTGTAGGGTTCGGTGCCGGCTGGGCCAGACGCCTGAGATGGATTTGCGTGTGTACCACAGCGTGACACGGCCATCCGCCTGCCGCTGAGACGGATATGATGGCAAAGTACTACTAATGCAACTCATCCACAATAGTGTGTGTTCTAGGCAGGTTGACGGATGGTGGCAGAGCGCTTGAGTCCACAAAGCTGACCAAGAGGTTGAGCAAGCCAATCTTGTAGGTCAGTAGGCCAAGGTGGCTTGGTCCTGGCTGTGGCGGCAAGCTATTAGCGCTTCTCTACTCGATGGATCCAAATCAAGCATCCAACTCGAGACGAGACGTCAACAGTATTGCCTCTCGACCATCATGGCCTTCAACTACGGGGTGGAGCTGGAGGTTGGATATCAGCGGTTTCTCGCATTCACATTGTGCGACACGAGTGTCAGAGGCTTCAATCTCCTCATATAGGGACAGTTTAGTATGTTTACTGCGGCTTTTCGTCTTGTCTTCAGCATTTTGGACGGCACGACGGGAAGAACACAGACCGCACACCACGTCGAGCGACGGACAGGCTAATGCAGGAGCTCGCTCTGCGTTCCGTGCACCAGAAGACGGGGTTTGCTAATTGGTTAGACGCCAATTCTCCACCCATTGTGTCCTGCAGCAGATGGCCAGGGGCGGATGAGCTTAATCGATGTGCCTTAAGCTTGCATTACTCCATGTTGCGCCCAGTCGCGACCCTGAATCATCGACGTCAACATCCATGTGTACGCATTGAAGACGGTCTCAATGGAAGAAAGACAGGCCGTCGCTGCAACGGATCAACAGCAAAATGTGATCGGGTTCCGGAGAAAAGGGGCATTTCTGCAGAATTCCTGTTGAGTTGCCAGGATCTCCCCTTCAGGCCAGCGCCCTGACGCTTTCGGAGGATTCTCACCAGTTCGGGGATTCAGAATGGATGCTCCCGACTCACCTAGAGGCCACTCTAGCGCCTCTTTGTTCGAATCAGACCACGACTCTGAGGGTTAGCCTAAACGCCACTTGGACGAGCCAAACGACTACGGCGAACCAGTCCAAGCGGCCTATTTCGCCAAAATGACAGACGCTTCGTGCCAAGCGTGCCGTAGTGGCCGATCATGGCTGGGACTCGCCGCGAGTGGCAGCTAGAGACAGCATGTCATGCAACTTGACAAACATAGGAGCTCTCCATTCGCCTGAGAGGAAGCTGCCTATCACTATCCCATCCGTCGAAGCGGCTCGTGGCCTAATCCGGGGTGCGACACACTGGCGCAGGGGAACTAGCCAGGTATCCGGCTGTGCGATGGATGCTCTCAATGGATCGCTTCTCTAGACCTATCCCGTTTCCATGATCAAATGGCTGGCTGTGTCTGCAGTCTTGGCGAAATCCGTCCACGCCTTTAATAAAGCCGCTCGTTCCCAGCTCTGTCTTGACTGGCGGAATACATCAAGCAACACCTACGCATCTGCATCACTCGTCTCTACGCTCGCTCAACCACACGGCCTTCCATCAGCTCTAGCGAACGACTCAAACGCGATTCACGGCACGTCTATCGTCAATTCATAACACAGTCTTCAAGATGAAGTACACCATCATCACCGCCTTTCTTGCTGCCTTCGCGGCCGCCAAGACCGTCGACGAGCTCGTTGCAGACATTCCTACCTGCGCCGTCACATGTATCCGTGACGCTGCCACGTCCGTCAACTGCGATATCTCAGACTTTGCCTGCTCCTGCGCCAAGCAGGACCAGCTGACGCCCGTCGTCGTCAACTGCCTGTCCAAGTCAAGCTGCAGTGCGGATGATCAGACCAGTATATTCTTACCAACACATTGAAACAAAGCCTGGGAACGTAGACTAACAGAAGAAAACAGAGGTCCTTTTGACGGCCCAGCAGATCTGCTCTCAGGTCTCCTCGGGCGTCTCGGCAACTGGCTCCGTCGCCGCTCTTACCTCCGGAGCCTCCTCCACCGGTTCCGGCGGCGCAACCTCCACCGGGGCCGCGGCCGCGAGCACTTCGTCCCCTGCCGCCGCACCCACCATGCATGTCGCTGGCTGGGCCGGAGCTCTCGCTGCCGCCGCCGCTCTGGCCCTTTGAGGAGTTTCTTTGAAATGTCGCCTGGATACCTTGGCCTTTGGGTCGTTCTACTTCAAGCCTGTGTAGGAGACGTGACGGATACACAGGGGACTTTGTTCACGGAGTTGGGAGGGAAAACAAATCTAGTCATTTAAGCAATCAATACAACGTGTAACTGTACACTTGAATCTATCTAGCTCTATTATAGGATCTACGATGAAGTCTAAGGCCATCTTTCCGTTCTGCACCCTTCCAAATGGGACCTGCTCACTGTCGTATTCTCCAGGTCTCTCCGCCCAGTCTATTCTATCGGGTATCATCACTTTCCCACCTTTAACCTAGTCCAAAAACACCCAACGCGCTCCCATCGCCACCGTCAGCGCCGTCAAGCCAGCCATGCAAATCGTCCATGTTGGCAAACTGCTGCGCATAAACCATACCCTCGCGCCTCCTCTTCTCAACCATCTTCCAGTCCCACGTATTATCGTTCTGCACCTCGCTCAAATCGACACTCTCATCCCCGACACCGTTCTCCCCGCCCTGCCATCCGCCAGGCCTCTGCGGCAACAGCTCGCTCGCCTCCAGCGCAACCGCCGGGTGCACCGTCAGGCGCCCCAGCTTGAAGACGTACTTGCTCACGCCCGTCGCGTAGATCTTCTTCTCCCACTCCTTGCTGTCCGTGTTGCTCCCGGGGCCGCGGCGCACGCGCGCGCCGCCGAACTTGGGGTCGAGCCACTCGGTCGGGCGCGCGGTGCCCTTGGGCACGAAGTGTGTGACGATGTACAGCCACTTGCGGTCCCAGGCGAGCACGCGCGACCACATCTCGTAGGGCGCGTAGGCGGTGATCTCGCGGCGGAAGGAGCAGTGCACGGCGCCGAGCATGATGCCCAGGCTGCCCTTGGCGGGCTTGCCGGAGCGCGGGTCGAGGACGAGGTTGGTCGTCGCGTTGTGGGTGAGCTGGCGGAACCCGGGGCGCAGGAGGTAGGTGCAGAGGTGGGTGCGGGAGACGTCGAGGTCGGAGAAGTAGGTCGAGTTGGACTTGTGGACGTTGTAGTCGATCTCCATGATGGGCGCGTGGGACCGGGAGATCATGGGGCGGAAGAGGGAGCGCGGGCCGAGGCGGGGGGATTTGCGGATGAAGAGGTGGTAGAGGATTGCGTGCCATACGCGGTACTGTATAAGGTTCTGGATCAGCGATTGAGGTCTTCTCGACCGTTGAAGGAAGGGAGAACGTACGGTCCAGACGAAGGGCATGTTCTTGAGGTTCAGCAGCGCAAAGATGAGCATGAGGATCCGGCTGATCTTCCCCGGGCCGGTGAAGAAGCTCGCCAGCAGCATGCGCCAGTGAATCCTGTACGCGGCGTAGGCAAGACCGCCGGCCGTCGCGAGGCGGATGAAGCGGACAACGCGAACCGGGATGCGGTCCATGTCCGCCTCGGTGCGGGTTGCTTTGGCGATTGCGGACGCCATTTTTTGAGTTTTTTTCGTGGTCTCTCCTGCTCAGGGAGTTTTGCGATGCGGTTGCGGTGAGGGCGGCGGCGCTCGCTTCTTATCGGCGGACTTGATGCTCGGGAACACGAGCTGGCGGGCTGCGCCGAGGAGGAGGACGACGAGGACGACGGTCCAGAGGGGTAGAGAGCGGATGATGCACCAGAGTGTGCTGGAGCATTGAGCGAGGACGGAAGGGGGAGGCATCTGGGGGGTGGTGGTGGGTGGGCTACTTTTTTAATCTGGTAAATTATCTTTTGCTGGGTGGTCCTGCTGCGATACGCTAAAGATAGTGTTACCCAGGCCTTTGGTGCCGATATTGAAAGGTCCACTTTGCGTGTGCTGTCTTGTCCCCCCAACGGGGTTGCGGTTGTGTGTTTGCGTTGGGACGGGATGCGGTGACGATACCGGGACAGGGATGAGGAAAGGCACCTTTCCCAGGCGTGGGGGCCCACCCGCGGACGGGGTTCGGCGTTTAATCGCTGCGTACCTGCCCAATTCAATTGGCATTTATTTAGTGAGCAAGCTGTGCTGGACCTCGGCTCAGAATAAATTAGCCTTCTGAAAATTTGGCGCGACGCGATTTAATTTTTCTTGGCGTGACGGGATGGCAAAACACTTCGTAGTGGTCTTGGCTGGATAGGCGGGCTCGGATCGGTGCCAACGGAGGGACGGAGGGATTATTGATGCTTTCAAATGTCGGATACCTCGGTTGTTGGGTGTGTTGGGTTGCATGGTTTGGTCGTATTGAGATTGACGGATGCGTTTTGCTCGATCGCGTCGTTCACACCGCCAGCACGGCCTAGAAAGAACAGGACATGCGAACTAAGTGACTATTGGACATGTCAATTACAAGAACAGTTTGATGCTTCACTGATATGGAGAACGTGGCTATTTCCACTTCGGACAAAGCCACCAATTAAGGCTGTATCGCGTCCTAGATCGCATCGACCAGGTCTGTTACGGAGCTTATGTGGGCCGTCCGGGGCCATCCGCGGAACCCGGTCGGACCCTGGCCCGGAGGAGGTCCCGTCTGACCTGCGTTTGCCGGCCTGGCACCGGGCCAAAGAAATCTCAGTGCTACCACACCCATAGCGAGTTAGTGCATATTTAATGGCACTTTAGACTACTGGGACTCCTTTCCAATCAGATTTGACTTGTCAACACTGGCTGCAAACCGAATAAAACAAGGTTGCAGGGGCGAAATTAACGGAGACAAGATTGATTGACATCAAAACGAAAAGCACAGTCAGACGTTCGAGAGTAATTTGTCAGTGGTATCGTTTGTTGTGGCACAGGTCAAGTGGCCTATTCGGAGAATAGAAGAGAGTGATTGGGTGTGAAGGGTTGCCGTGGCCTGCCTGGCTTTGACAAGAAAGGAATGAGGCACGAGTTTGACCGATGCCGAAACGGAAGGAAGGAATAGCATCACGGCCTGACAATTCATTTTGAAAACTGTCCGTGCTTAACTCATCTCTTGTCACTTTCAAGACTATGTTGCCTGATTTTGTATCTCTCAGAGCACTGTCAACATGGCATACGAACCTCGCGAACCGACTACAGAGGTGTTGACAAAACCATGCATGCAGAAGATGGGCATCACAAGGTTACATTTAATTCAGTGTTGGCTATGTTTGATCCCCGTGGCACAGGAGCTAAACCAACTTGAGTTGTGATTTAAAATTTTGACAGTTCTCAAGACAAAGACGCGATACGTTGACATTGCGGGCTTATCAAGTATTTCGTCTAATCATTCGAAATCGGGTCGAGGCCGGTCTGAAGTATGTGATACAATTAGAGAACTAAACAAATCCTCTAGATACAAGTGCTAGGACGTTCAGATTTAGCAAATATAAAGTAGTCATTTCCGTGACCGTGGATGTCAAGTCCAGTCCATTTCATGCAACCTTCTAATTCTATCAGCTCACCACAACCGTTTCCAATCTTCCGTCATGTCAACTTCGGTGCTTACAACACTGAAGCACATCTCATTTCTCGTTGCACTTACACTGATCATCTTGCCAACGGTCAGCGCCGTCATGTGCAGCGCCCACTGCCCACAATTATTGCGAGAGTGCATCGAGGGCTGCGTTTACAATGGGGGAAATTATATCCTCTGCAATGGGAGGTGTCACAGTATAATGGTAAGTTCGCGTCCCATGACCAAGCCAAGTTCTATCTAGGTAACAATGCCATACTAATAAGGTCGACTGTATTCGTAAATGCGGGGAACATTATCGAGGACCGGATTTCAACGAGACATAACATTTTTGAGGCCCGACGATGCACGACGATCGATTTGTAGAAGAAGTTTCTGCTTTAATTGCAAAGCTTTGATTCTCGAGCGAATAGTTGAAAGGCTGAAGACGGTGTCGAAATTGAAAGCAGGACTCCAAGGAGTTGCCATCGACAGAATGCATTAGACGCAAAGAAATATTACATTAAGATTAGACTGCAGTTGAATCTAAGAGAGACATATCAGGCTAAATAGCCGAACTTTTGAACGAGTGACTTTTTCCACCAAACATTTTCCATTCCTTTCCCAATCATTACCACCCTTCCACCTCAAGAAGAAAAAGGAGATCTTCAATACATCCCACTAGATCAAGCAGGGGGCAGCGGCTTGATCTCAGAGAGAGGCGCGCAGGGCCACGAGGGGTTCTGCTCGGGCTTGCCGTGCACAACGTTACCGACAATGGTGTAAATGTTCTGGCACAGAGTCATGTTGACGAAGCCGGGGCTGCGGTTGCCCTGGTCGGACCACAGCTTGGCCTGGGCATGGGGCGAAACGTCGGTGTAGTTGGGCTGGTAGACGTTGTTCTTGTAGCCGCCCTCGACCCAGCCACCGTAGGCAGCAGCGACGATGTCCTCCTTCGTGACGCCGCCGTAGCGGGAGCCGTCCATGGTCTCCGTGCCAAAGAGCGCCGTCAGGGGCCAGTGCTTGCTCTTGAAGATGTTGGGGCGGATGGAGGGGTACTCGGTGGTCAGCTTGACGCCCTCGCTTCTGATGTCGACGAGGTAGAAGAGTCTGTCTTCGTAGCAGGCGGCGGCTCTGGCGTGGTCGCTGTCAGGCAGGAAGGGCCAGAGGGAAGAGTCTCTCTCGCCCGTGGCCATCTTGCAAGGCAGGTTGGTCTTCCTATAGAAATGTGTAAGAAGGTGAGGCAAACGGGTTGTTTGGTGTGTGTGTGTGTGACTTACAGGACGAAGGGTCTCTTGGACCACTTGCGAGTCTGCCAGATGGACACCATGAAGCGGGGGTAGAACAGCTTCTGAACCATTCTGGACATCTCGTAGGCGTTGAGGTCATCTGGAGTAGCACCCATGAGGCCGTTGTCCAAAGCCGCAATGAGGAAGTTCTCGGTCTCGGTGTTGTTGGGAGAGAAGATGTTGTCGACGTAGGCTGTCTGGGTGGCCTTCCAGCTGTCGAAGACATCGCCCATCATGGCACCGAGAGATCCGTACTGAACCTTGGGGTCCTTGCCTCTGTTTGTGGAATCTGGTCAGCAAGCCATTCTGAAGATTTGAAGAAAGGTCGTCACTTACGGAAGCATGTAGTCCTTACCGATGGCCCAACCAGTGAAGATACTGTAACTGAGAGTGGTCGTCAACTGCGAACGCCAGACCTGGGAGATCATCTGTCCAGCGGCTTGCTCGACAGGCTTTGCAAAGATGACTGCGCACTCAAGTTAGAGACATGATTCGTCAAGTGTGGGTTAGTTCTGCGGGGCTGCAAACTTACAAAAGTTGTTCATGTAGGCCTGTGCAATACCAATCACACCGTAAGCAACGTTGAGCAGAATTCTCTTAGTCTGGTCCTTGGACTCGTCTCTGGGAGGCGGCACAGAGAAAGACTCGGCAAAAAGGTCCATTTCGGACTGAATGTCCTGCTGAGCCAGACTGAGAGCCTCAAAGTAGCGGTGGTGGAACTGTTAATACGTTTGTTAGCATGAGATCAGAAATAGGAAAGCCACATGAATGTAAAGAAGGAAAAAAAAAGGGAGCAAGAAAGAACTGTGTAACTAACCCTGTGAAGCTTGGAGAACGAGTTGAGGATGAGATGTCCAGCGGGATACTTGGTGTCCTCACAAACGAGCGTGGTCGAACAAGGCACGTCGAAGATCTCCTTGCAGTGCCATTCCTCGGGGCCGCCAAAGTACCAAGAGACGAACTCGCTGAACTGGAACTTGACTTCGTCGGGTCCAGTGGTGTAGTTGCGCCAGGCAGCGAAGACCTCGTGAAGGGCATCCGATGCACCAGCCGCCTCCCATCGCTTGTCGGGCAAAGCCTTGGCGTCGACGATGACACCGCTGCAGTTGACTGCTCTCCAGTCAACCTTGCCGATGGGCGCAGGAGGCGCGGCAGGTACCAGGGCCTGGGCCGTAGCGGCTGTGGCCGAGGCCAGCAAAAGAGTGAAACTAGAGAAGAACATCGTGCCGGTTACAAAGAAATAGGCCGGAAAGGACAGTGCGGCTGTCTAAGTCTTGACTTGTGTGCCGATGAAGAGGAAAAAGAAGGCATTATCGTGAAGTCGTTGTGTATTACTTATAATCATTGCTTCAGTATTGCATCGACATGTCAAAATCCAAGCTCGGCGATGTTGAACCTCGTCCGAGTCTCACGGCGGTAAGTACCGTAGTATCGACGAGAATAATATCGTGCCAACGGATGCAATTCTCACGATGCGGAGCACCTAAAAAACCCTAGTTGAGCAAATATAGTTGGGTTCACGGAGCACCCGAAAAGTTTCGGCGATCAGATAACATTACAATGTGGGTCACCCGAAAACTTTAGATGATCAGATAACTGCTTTTCCGGAAAGGCCTCTATTCCGGATTTCGTAAGGTTAAACCAAGAAAGGCGACTTATTTCCCTTTTCTCGGAAAGAGAACCGTTCGTCAACCTGAATTGAGAAAAGCTGCGCTGAGTTGAGCCGAGTTGAGAGATGAAGGTGTCTGCTCCCGCTTCAGGGGAGCCCTCACCCAAATGCGCGTCATGTCTTCATGCGCGACATCAGTTTCTGCGGAGCCGCATCCCAAAAGAGACAAACTGCACGTGCGGCTTCTGACAAACTACTATATTAGGGCAGACTTTTTGTTGCGGATCTACCTGCCGATTCTGAATCAGAAAGTGAGGTTTGCCGACGCTGCACCAACTTGACTAAGGATATACCCGCTTCCCTGTAACCTTGCATGTTCTTCCCACTTTTGTTGATCGCCAACTATTGTCGGCTTTTGACAGTTGTTTGTACGGAAGTCTAATGTATGAAACAGTGACACACTTAATTACATGTCAGCTGTTGTGGGATCCCTAGGTAGCATTGCGGCGGGAACAAGACACGGCAATGATGTCAAGCTTAGCTCGAGCTACGGGTTGTTTTCATTTTTGCCGTGTTGTTTCAGGATGAAGGGAAGGGTTCTGCATGTAAACTTTGAGCAAGTTTAGTAGGACTTGGGTCTTTTGAGGCTCTTGTGTGTGGGGCTCTTAATATGTTATGATCTGGTTCTCGACCCTCAAGGTGGTCCGCTGGCCATCAAGGTGTTTTTGTATGTGAGGCTCCTCCCGAGGCCGGCCCAAGTGATCTGATCGTCGCGCAGTGGGTCAAGCATACTTGTTAGATCAGGCATGGCATTGGCTTCTTCTTGAATAGGGCTGTCATAACCTTTTAAAAGTAGCCTTCGGTAATTTCCTGTCGTAGCCACTCTGTACTTAGCGATGTAGGATTTAGCCGTTAGAAACATTATCCCGCGGAGGACAGCCCGCTGAAACACTCTGTTGATCTTTCTTGTAAAACTTTTTTCTGATGTCTGAATGATCTTTTGCAATAAACCATCATATACGAGAGTTGTATGTGTGTGTCAGACCGGTCCCACGTCTTGATGAAGGTCTTGATGAAGGCGAAAATGGCTCGGGTAGTTTCGGCCAACAGAGCTTCTGAGGCTGTCGTCTCTCAAACGATCATGCCTTAAATACTCTGGAAAAGACGAAGTCTTGTTGCAAGTTTCAAGCCAGCATCCCAGAAATCCATCGCCACGAACCGGCAGACCGTCAGAGCGCATCAACGCCGTCGCCGTCCCTAGAAATCTCAGCAAGATGTTGTTCTCCAAGTTGTGAGTTGCATTCTAAAGATTTCCAGCGCCTCATTTCTCTATTTTGATAATTTCTAACGGAATACAGGCAAGTCTTGTCCTACCTGGCGCTCGTCCAGCTCTGTGCATCTGCCGCCATCGACACTGCCCAGGACATCGCTCCACGTGGAGATGCCTTCCGCGACAACTACGGTAGCAACATGTGTCTCCAAGTCAAGTGCGACACGACCGTTTGCGCCGAGAACCCCGACGACGCCCTCGCCGTGGCATCTGGCGGAGTCAGCTTGATCGTGGGCCCTGACTGCGCCGGATGGGACGAGGGCAGTCTTCTCGAGCTCCCTAACGGCACCAACGGCAAGACTTGCCCTGATGGCCGTAAGCTCTACCAGGGCACTCTTATGGTATGGAGAGCCTGGAACAACGTCAGCGCCAAGAAGGATTACCACGCCGAGTTTCTTGAGTGGGACAACTTCAAGGGCGCCCAGTGCTGGGGCAAGAAGGACGTTCAGTGTCAGAAGGATGGTGTCAAGATGGCTCCGGACCCGAACACCGGTCTTTGTGTGCCTTGGGGTCTGTGAAGGAATGGAGGGTGTAGATGGGTGGGGTCTATGAAAGGACAGAAAAGCACATGCATTTTAGGCCTTTTGGTCGTGGAACTTCATAATAGTAATTATCTCCTACTCTTAGTAATATTCTTCTCATAGTAATAATCCTTCGGTCATCAAAACGTACGTATACCCGTACGCAAGCACACACTGAACAAAAAGTAACATTTCTGTGATATGATTGGTCACATAGAGTGATTTAGACGAGACATGATCATTTCCATTATTTCGGTCACTCGAGGTTTCTTTAATTGTGCGACAGAACGACGTCCAGAAAATCAAGGGAAAACGCAATTGCATTCAAAATTTCAAATTACCCTAGGATGTGCTGTTACAAAGGAATGTGTGTTCCCATCTCAGGACATCAAGAATTACCCGTTTGAAAGAGAAGGGAAAGAAGACAAAATAAAGCTGGCCCCGCCAGGGTGAAGTAATGTAACTTCAAGTCGGATAGCAACATTGAAGGTTGAGCTCCGTCAATGTTGTCACGAACATAAACTTCGGAGTGATGTGTGATGATTACAAGCTTCCTTTGTCCTCGAAGCGAATGAATACCAATCGGCTGACGGATTCGTCGTTGTCTTTCACGGAGTTGAACCCTTCTGTACGACGGCAATGTCAAACGTTTCCAGGTGCTCCAAACTCCCGCCGCATTTGTTCCGTAATGATTTCAGCGGGCTCCTATTGAACTACGGTAAGAATTGAATTGAATATGCTAACTTGCCAAGCTGAGAAGAATACCTCATGTTCTTAAGGTGCCACATGATGGCCCACCTGGACGAAATTTCCGTTGTACGAAAATTTGAGAAACTCGCGCACGAGGTCGAATAAAGCAACGCCAACAAATGCTCACATGCGGTGTATAAAACAAAGCGTCGCTTCTTCTGAGTTTTCAGAGACGGCAAATATCTTCATATGGAGCCATCTTCGTTGATTTTGCTGATTTCTGTTCATGGCTGACCTCGTAGCTGATCTCCACAAGTGGCCCCCATCAACACCAGGAATCATGACAACTCCCTATGGTGGATTCATCTTGTCGGGATTTGACACTTTCTATCCGGCCTCGTTCGTGTTTCCAGATGGCATCCCAAAATCGCCATTTAGCGACGCATGGACTTTCGGCAAGCCAATCCCAGAGACAATGGTCACTGTCGGCCTCGGCGACGGCAAGAAACTGAGTCTCGCAGATGGCAACTTTCCCTCGGTCGCTCTGTGGAATGAAGAAGGACAACGGATGGGACAGTATCAAGGCCATTACGCAGGCCACGTGAAACAAGGGGGTGAAAAGACGGTGGTGATCCGACAGACCATGAACGGCAGGAAAGACGAGGATCCAGGATACATAATGCTAAGCGCGGACAACGACGCCATCTGCATCGCAATGATTCAAGTTTCGAACAGCAGACATACCTCAGCCTTTTTCGGAGATACCGGCTACGCCTGCGGGCAGAGCTGGTATTTCAGTGATCGCAAGTTGACGCACGACCTCGTCAACCGCCTGACCTCGAGATGCGTCTGGCTGGATTCCGAGCACAGCGGCACGAAAAATGCGCGGGCGATGAGCTACCATCTCAAGGATATGTTGCCCGCGAAAGACAAGATCGCACTGTACAACCGGGATGGACACAAATACCTCTGCACGACTCGGCGATTCACTTGGTGGAGGAACTTGAAGCCGAATGGCTGGATTCCGTTCTACAAGCCACCACTGGAATACTACCCAGACAGTGAAGACAAGAAAAAGGAAGGAGCAGACGTCAATCCAGATTTGGTCCTCGACGACAAGGTGTATGACAAGGACATATACTTGGAGCAGGGAGAGTCAAGAAAAGTGAGGGAATATCACAAGAACAACCCCTTTGCACGAACGAAGAAGCGGCTGGCCAAGAAGTCTTTGAGGAAGAGACAAGGCGCAAATATGGACCTGGAACGGATCGTGGTTACTGAAATTCCGGGACAGACGGCGACCGAGATCTGCGAGCACCCGAATTCGGTAGGATACGACATCGCGTCCTATGTTGACATGAAATACTGCGATATATCGGAGAAGAAGCTGTATGATCTATGCGGTGGTACTGTCACCACCAACTGTTTTGATGGCAACAGCACGACCTTCTTTGGGGTCATCAACGCACGTGGCGAGAATGCTGCACCGGCAAAGTCTTACAAGACCAGGAGTGATTGGAAATGATGTTGTGGGGGACTTGATTGCTGGGTTCCATTTTCTTGTGTGATAATTTGACATTCATAGCTTAACGGCCTTTCCATGACATACATTGTATCAGTCAATCGGAAGCGTATTGTATTAAAGTCATACGGACAATGGTCACTTGTCATCGCGGTGTACAAGATATGGTGTGCGATGAAAACTGGTCGTACATTCGAGATAGTGTAGGAAATGAGGAGGCGAGGTGTAGCTTGGAAACGATGTACACTTAGTCTGTGCTTTTGGAGACCATTGCACATTCATTGCCAATCCCTCAAGCCTTCAGTGCTTACTATATGAAGGCCAGAACTTCATGCTCTAGCCGTCTTCCACTCTCCAAACGCCTTGACAGCCTCAGCAACGACGTCATGACCGAGCAGCTCTTTCTGATATTCCGGGTCAATCCACCTCCAGCCCGTGGGTGACAGCCCGTCTGCTAACTTGGCACCTGCCATCTCCGCATCTCGCGCTTCCTGCTCGGGCCCGTCCGGTATTTGATACCACTTCTGGTTCGACCTTGCGCCTTGAACATTCACGGTCGTCCGCGACTTGCGCAGTGTCTCATAGAGCTGGAGCACCTCCGGAATCAACTCCGCCGGCGCGGTTCCATTCGAAGAGTTATTGAGCAAGCCCAAGAGCTTGCCAAGGACTGCACCGTCTTCGACAGCCATGGCTGCCCCTTGTGCCTGGTATGGAAGACTCGGATGACAGGAGTCTCCCAGCAGAGCGACACAGCCCTAGGCACATTAGCATGGTGTTTCACTGGATGTTGTGATGGCCAACCTTTGTCCAAGTCTTCAATTCAGGATGCGTGCACAGCTTCCATTTCTTAACTCTTGGTATGCAAGATATCAGCTTGGTCAACCTGTAAATGATTGTTAGCCAATAATCTCATTGATTCGCCGGAACATTGGCACAGTGACATCTTTCAATCACCGATAGCGCCGAAAATTGCTCGAGCGGAAGATCAAAGGGTCCAACTCACGTCTCATCCCAACCCTCATAGCTCTGTCTCATCTCACCAACGTCCCCCTCAATGTGCCTTTCTCCGGGCGCCATGTTGTCGGGTCTGATCAAGACCAAGTTGAATTCTTTCCCGCCCCTGACAGGGTAGAACACTGTATGCTTTTGGGGTCCCAACCACACTGTCACCTGCTTTCGAGAACACAGCTCATCTACGGCTCCGTCGTTGAGTGTCTTGAGCTGCTCTGCGGGAAATGACGCTCGGTACGCAAGATCCCCCGTCTCAACTGCTGGTGATGCCGTTCCAAGCAGCTGATTGCGGCATATTGAGTACAGACCTGCTCAGTATCAGCAAAGCGATGGGCCTTTCACGGCGACACCATACCCACCATCGGCGCCAATGATCACGTCCCCGGAAATGTCATCTCCATCCTCGAGCCACACCGTATTGGTATCGAAATCAATCCTCTCAACATCCATGTCCAGACAAAGATCCACCCCAAGACTCATACACGTCTCCCACAACGCCGCATGACAATCAGCGCGATGACAAACCATCCAGAGGTCTCCATACTGTTCCATACACTCTTTCGCAGAGAGCGAAAACAGATGCTTCCCGTTCGCATACCGCCTCAGCTCCATTTCGTCAACGATGACACCCCTCTCCAGCAGCTTGTCCAGATATCCCAGCTGCCGCGCAATCCTTGTCCCGTTGGGCGGTGCCTGGATCCCAGCGCCAATCTAAAAAGAAGAGGCAAAATACAAGTCAGCAGACTCCTCCGGAAGGAGCCGAAACTCAGGCTCGATCGCGTGATTAGACTCACGGGCACGATGCGGTTTGCCCTCTCGAGCACCACGACTTCCAGGCCTTCCCGCTTGCATGCGATCGCACAGGCGAGTCCGCCTAACCCCGCTCCGATGACAAGGACCTTCATCCTTTCGCTCTAGTGACGTTCTTCTACAGCGGCGTGATTGTTCCTCCGATTGCGTGGAATGGGAGGCAATGTGAAATACCGCGGAAGGAAGATCTGTCCTGTTTATTGTTGAAAAAGGAATAAAGCCTGCGGGACAGCGGCGTGGTGGACACTGCCCCGCGCGGCCCGAAACCCACATCGGTAGCGGAACCGCCTTGCCGCAATGCTGATCGGGAACTTTAAACGGAGCCCTCCATCCTATCTCTCCGCCTCTTCGCCCCCACCTCCACACCGGGGGGACTTACCATCAATACGGTGCTGATCAAAGTGCCAGCCGTGTGGAATATTTCCTGATTTCTTCTTCTCTAGTTACTGGCTCGGTCGACTCGGATTGCCAGACCGGTCCGAGGTGTCATTTCTTAAAGCCTAATTCCGAAAATGTCAACGCAAGGACGGCTGTGGCGGGTTCATCTTCCTTGCGTGATGCACGGTAAGACTGTTTGACGCCTCTGCAAGTTCTTGGGCGCAGCGGGTGACTATTTAGGCTGATGTTGGATAGCCCTGCAACTTCTATGAATGATTGGAGAATACTTAAATATGAAAGAAGAGCGATATGCGGTATTCTTGCTTTGCATCAACATTGCATTCAAGAGCATGCAGAGGACTTTTGTTGAAGAACAGACCTTAGATGAGGATAGAGCATCTAAAAATGCCTGCGTGCATAACGCATACTATATTGGGAGATGATTTGTAATGAGAGACATTGACTGAGTGAGAATAGAGATGTATGAGAGATTCTCAGCGCCTTCTACATCACACGAATCAAGTGAAAACTCATCGAGGATGTACGAACATAAGCAAACAAAAGTATTAAATCTGCATTTACTTTCAAATTTAGAGCGAGTCTGTTCATCATAGCTGCGATAGAGCTTCTCGAACAGACCGAAACGACATAGTCTGCCTTAGTCTAGGACCACCTATCTGACCCACTCATAGACGTTCCTGGACATCCAGATTGCCCATATTAGTTTCAACCTTCTTTCAAACGGTTAGATCATTGGCGGGTACCGTTCCCTAGCAATGTACTCATATGCACGCGTTGTTTCAGTCCGTGGACCCGTGTACCCGCAAGTAGCTAGGAGGCTCAGCATACTTCCAAGCTGACTGTTTTCCGTCACCTGGTACCCATGATCAGATTTCTCAGACCTCACGGCTGTCGTCCAGGGGTCTGGAATTACCCCAAGATTATGGATTTGTCAACCACACAGGCGACTTAAGATGGATCCCGGCACCAACATCCGAGTGACGTCCCGTAGGGCTAGCTGACAGGATGTGACAGCCGCTCAACCCTTTCCCCGTGCCCCTTCTTGGCAAACGAGATCTAACAGAGGATGAGCTCCATATTTTGTGAAGTTTCCATCATAAGTGGCATTCTGATAGGTTCATGTGGAGGATCAACATCGTCGCAATAATATTACGTGCATACACACCAACTTTAGCCAGACACCATCCGCGATTCTTGTGTCGATCACTCAAAAATGGCGGTTCTTGTCTCTGTAGTGAGGAATGGCGATAAAGGAAAGAGCTGTGCGCAATTGAAATGATCTGATGTGAGATGTGTTTGCGTCGGTAGCATCAAAACACCGAATGGCCGATGGAATATCTCTACTGTGGTCACCGATGTTACCCATACGTCATTGAACTGGGCATGTGATCAACAATGTCCCCGGCTTCCCAGAGATGATCACTGAAGATATTCATACAATGCCTCACGCTATTCTGTGGGCGGCTTGGTCATGCCGCGCCGCGCGTGTAAGTGACCGAGGATTCCGCGACAACGAACCCGGCGCCCTCGGCTCTCCGGTTTTAATCCTTGCTAAGCGCCCGCCCAGCTTCTTGCAGACATTGATGTGATGCCATATCCTACAATGCAACATGAATAGCGTTGAGATCAAAAACGATTAAGTATTTAAACATGAAATCGGGCTCCTCGGCGTTTTGCGTTACACCCCGGTCGACTTTTGACATCCTGTCATCCTGGCACGTTACAGTCCGTTGCGTTGACGGCGTCCGCCCCCGACTTTGACCCGGAAGGAAAATTTTCCGCTAGCCTAAAAACCACTAAATCGCCCTAAACTTCACACCTTAATAGCTCTATATATACGTAATACGTACAAATAAAAAAGATATTATTATAATTACCTAATTAAGGGCTATTAATTGATATATTTTTTATTTATATATATTATATACGTATAGAGCTATAAAGGTGTGAAGTTTAGGGCGATTTGGTAGTTTTTCAGTAAAAAGCCCCTTTTTTTTACCTTTTTTGGGCCACAAAGTCAGGGGCGGACGCTGTCAACGCAACGGACTGTATCCGATCTTCCCGGAGGCCCTTGCGCCCCTCCTCTCCGACGTCACCACTCAAACGTTGCGGGAAGTGGAGGAGTTGGGGGCTCGCCAACTTTGTAAGTCCCCGATTACCTGATCAGGGAATTCGTTTTCGGACGAACGTCGCCGATGCGCGGGGCGTGCGGCCAGGGCGGATCGCAGCCCGTCTGAATTGTCCGTCCGCGGGCTCCTGCTCCCACGATGCCGAACATTATACCATTCCGCAGTTTGTTAATGTTTCGTTATTTTTCCTTTTTAGCCCGGGGCACCCGACGGCACGATCGGGTGTGCGCGGTGTTCCATGCAAGGCACAAAGTGAAAAAAAGGAATACCACACTCAGAAGAAGAGAGTGGCGTCTTATCATATTACTCCTCGGTCTTGGACTTTTTTCAACGTCTCTTAAAATTGATCTCGTTCTCGTTACCCCTTGAGATTGGCCCTGATGCCTTTCATTGTTGAAAAGAAAGTGGTGCTTTCCCGGATGGCCTTCCAAGCCCTTGTAAGATACGATCACGATGGACAAGTCTTTTACGGCAATCTGGTGCGAAGAAGCAGAAGTGGCTATGTTGTGGAGAGGTTGGGCGGGAACATTGATGAGGGGTTCGTCAATACGAATGTGAGGGATACGGTAACGAAGGTAAGGACTCAGAGGTGGCATGACTCAGTCTTGAGATTCGTTGTTGGAGAAAGTGACCACTGACGCAATATTCCGCCAGTTGCTGTGTCCCTTAGAGCGAACACCAAACATTGTATGTCTTGGCCTCAATTTTCTCAGATACGCAGAACAAGCAAATGTAAGAGTAGCATCGTTAATGCGCCCCCAATAACATGACTGACAAATCCTCAGCTCCCAATCGCGGCCTATCCGATAGTTTTCACGAAGCCGCCAGATGCTTTGGCGGGACCGAATGATCCAGTATTCGTTCACCCGGACGCGCAGAGTCACTTGGATTACGAGGGTGAGCTGTGCGTCATCGTTGGAAGAGACGCGAAAAACGTGTCAGAAGACGAAGCGCTTGACTACGTTCTTGGTTATTCTGCAGGCAACGACCTGACCGCACGAAATTTTCAAGTTCCCGACGCTTCAGGAGGCCAATATTCCTACTGTAAATCATTTGACGGGTTTGCGCCAATAGGACCGGCGATCTGGTCGGCTACAGTGGTTCCAGATCCGCACGCACTACGGTACCGCACGATGGTCAATGGCAAAGTCGTCCAAGAGACTGAAACCTCCGACATGATTTGGAGCGTGGCGCAGGTGATTGTTCACCTTTCACGGGGAACGACATTGAGGAAAGGGACCGTTATTATGATGGGTACACCAGCTGGTGTTGGCTATTTTCAGGGGAAGTTCTTGAAAGATGGTGACGTGGTGGCCGTTGAAATTGACGGACTAGGTAAGATCGAAAACAAGGTTGTTTTTGAGAAAGAAACTCCCGAGGGAATGGAAGAGTAGACCTTTTATGGTTGGGAGGCAATCTGCACGACAGACAGATGTTTCTGGATGACTTTCATGAGATACGATGACGTCCAATGGTCTACGGCTCCGAGCTTATTACACGCGCTCATGATTTGACCTTCTATTTTGGCGCCTCTGTTTGAATATTCGGATGGCTGGGTACGGACTTATACAGGGATGGTTGTTTTTCGTGTGGGTTTTGGGTGTAGAACCTTCTGCTTTCGACTCTATGATTACAGCTAGTATTCAACGGGCTCCTATGTCTCCCGTAGTCCGTCTCTAACGTTCCAGTGAACTATCAGTATACTGCCAAAGTCATGTGACAGCTAGGCCTATGCAAGGCCTACATCCTTCTTAAACTTCAGCAGCCACTCCTCGACGTCGGCAGGCGTTTGGTTCCAGGGATCATCGCTGTAGTATTCTCGTCAGCGTATCGGCTACCAGAATAGGTGACGCTGTGCTAGGACTACTCACTCATCATACAGAACCCATCTTGCCTGGTGTCGGATCTCTTCGTCAGTGGGAATATGACTGTTGGGATTGTTGGGCGACATCGTGCTGGCGACAAACCGGGAAAGCTCTTTTGCAAGACGTCGATATCTGTTGTTATCATTCAGGAAGAACGGCATTCCACTGCCCCCGGGCCGTTCATTGCCCTGCCATGACCCTTGAAGTGACAGCCCCGACCCATTGAAGATTGTCTTAGCTGCTTGTAGTCTCATATAGAAGTCTTGTGTGGATTCTGCTGTGCTTTCTAGCCCCATCCCGACAGGATCTTGTAAGCCATCCATGCTAGCAGTTTGCGAAAGCCAAGAGGAATCGGCTGCAGGTGCCATCTTCCCAACTCCCTGATAGTGACTGAATTCTGGGAGATTTCTTTGGGCTATGTCCAGAGCTGGCTCGTTCCAATCTCCGTGGAATCCCGGAGCGGGCTGTGTTGACAACTCATCCTGAGAGTGCTGCTTCCCCCGTTGTCGCAAAGGGGCAATCCAGTCTTTGGATTCCCAAATGAGTCGCACCAAAAAACCAGCAAACCTTCTCGAAGGGTTGGTAGACGATTCTTCAACGCGAGCCAAAATTGCGCAGGCCTCCCGCTGGATTTCGTGATCTGAAAGAGCCAGACCCAGTGTGACGTGCATCCCAATGTAATGACGTAGCTCTGACTCGAGCTGGCATTCTTCAAAGATGTTCATTTTCCCGTTAATGCGGAGCTGGCTCAGTCGCAGCTTAGCCAGCTGCTGCATAGGGCGGAAACGAGCTTTTGTGGCTATCTCGGTCGAGCACATGAAGATGTCCCTCAGCCACGAGGGCGGTGATGAGCCAAGAGCTGACGAAAAGAATTCCGCGCCGAATATGATGCTACACCCCTCGTACTTGAGTTCATCATCAGATGGCGAACTGTCCTTGCCCTCGAAGTAGTTTCGTATGTAGTATTCTATCTCTAGTTTCAGAAGTTCGTAGGCGCTTGGTGCAGTATCGGCTGGTCCCACACTTGCGGTGAATGGAAGTGCCGAGAAAGACTCGAATCGAATGAGATCTATGCATCATTAGTCGTGAACCACCGGGTTTCAAGACTACTTTACAGCACTTACATGGCGGCATGGCATTATCCAACATCTCCATCACAGCAGGCTCAAATCCCCAATCTCCCTGCCAGTCTGTCATGGTGCTTCCATTCTTGAAGTGGTCGGCAAGATGATCTCCTCGCTCAGCCCATGTCTCGAGCTTGGCACCGCAAAACCCACACGCTGAGCGAATACTATTCTTTACGACTTTCCACTGATCCATCAGTCGCGTCATCTGGTTCGATCCGTGTACAAGCTTCAAGTGCTGCCGCAGATGATCTTTACGGTAGAATGTGCGATCCTCAACAGGCTTCTCTGAGCAAGCACTCTGATGGTGCTCATCAAGGTGAGGTTTACTGGGGCTGGGCTCTTCGCAATAAGCGCAGACCTCTCCCATTTCAGGATGATTTTCTGTAGACCCGTGTGGTGAACACACCCATTCTTCCAGTGAAAGATGAAGGGATTTTTCATGTCTCTGCCAGTCATATTTTGTCTTGAATGTTTCCGTACAAAAGGTACACTGGTACGTATTGCGAGCCTGCACCAATTTGATACGCTCTCCTTTTTGCATCTTGGTGAGAGCTCGACGCCTCCGCCTGCCTGAGAATTTGTTGGAATCTTGCGATCCGGCCGACCGCCTGGACCCATGGGAATAAGCAGAGGTGTTGGAACCTCTGCTAGACCGAGACGTCGCAGCACTGCTGAGGGATGATGCATTTTCCGAAGACCTGCCAGGCGATCGTGCACGGGTCGGAAAACTCGATTGTCCGGTCGATGCCGCAACAGCCCGATTGATATCGTCAGCGAGCGCGGGCTCGTGCTCTGGTGGCGAGTGCTCCCATCTCTGCATCGGATTCATCATCTCGAACGGCATTGGCGTCGGTCGTCGGGTTGGAATTTCAATGGGGCCAGTCGTTGTCTCCGTCCATGATGGAACTTGCGCAGACGATGTACCCTGCGATCGGAACTTTTTGCGACGGCGAGTGTTGGCAAACCAGTTGGTGATCTGCTGTCGCTCCAGGCCTGTTTGATTTTGCATTCTATCGACATCTTTCGGTGTCGGGTAGGGATGCTTTTCGTGCCTCTCGAACCAATTCCTCAGAACTTTGATGGCGCCAGATGTGAAGCGGCTGCCAATCTTGGATGGCACAGTGGCTTCAGGCTCGCCGGCCTCAGCTGGAGCCGGGGGAATGGCCGCATTGTCCTCGACTTCAGCGGACAGAGGCACGCCGCCCGAAATGCTTGACGATGGCGATGCCATGCCGCTGTCGATCTGTTGCTGAAAATCAACTGCCGAGGAGTTGCTTTGACCGGATATGAGATCGGAAAACATGCCCAGTTGATCAAAGTCTAAACTTATCGCTTGGAATTGGTCCTGCGTGCTGGGCATCGCGCCGAGGTTTTCGTGTGGGCTATCCATGACTCGGACCGAGCACTTGGTTTCAGGACGTGGGAGCTGGATGCAAACCAATGTGGGATGCCATTTTCCGCAAGATTTGTTAACCCTGGACAGGAAATGCGGAAAACACCATGCAATTCTCTCTCCCAAAGAATGTTGATCAGATGAAAAGGATCGGTGGGCGATTGCGGACAGGCGGGGCAATAAGAAGGTTTGTGGATCCTGATGGAGCTTGTCAACAAAGGGCGGAACCGCTTATGCAATGGAGTCCGCCTTTCAGTGACACGCTAACAGCTCGGCTTGGTTAAAAGATGACAGCCAACTTGAATGCTGCAATCATCATACATCTTTACAGCAACATTGTAAATACCGCGTAGAGACTGACAAATTTCTCTATTAGCTCATAGTGTACCGTCGCAGGGTAAAATAGTGATAAAGTGTAAAGCTGCCCGAGTGGCTAGGCCACATCAAGAGGCGCGGTAATCGATTGAGTTCAATTCCAGAGAAGATTATGGCTCATGGCTCTGGAATTTCAACCCTGTAATCGGCGAGCAGGAGTGTTCCTGATACTGACTGTAATATTAAGCAACGGCGCGGTATAATCTATCCTCTTGTCGTGTGCGCACCATCTTCCTCCGTCAATGTCCCCGAAAATGGGGCCGGGAGGGGCCGTTGTGGATTATTCTTGAGGTCGGGATTTCCGGGCGAATTTTTAAGCCAACTTCCTTTAGCGAACCTATATGCTTCACTTCTTTATGCTTTGAGGCTGTCCCGGGGAGGTTTTACTCTAGTCCGCGACAACGCCGATCAGATCTGGTAGCTGCGCAGCTAGGAGCCCGTCCCGGGATTGCTCATCCCCAGTAACGGCCCCTCATCGCCGAGAAAGCTTACCGGCAGATTGGCATAAAGCAAGTGGCACACAGTCTCCTGATTTCATGTCGGATTACGGTGCGCTCCGTTTAGTCCGCTCGGCGCTCCGCCGACCTGACATCAGACGACATGGCATGGAAATTACTATTTGTGATCCCCGAACCCCTCAATCATCCCAACCTCCGCCCATCTCAGGCACTTCACAATGCCAGATCCGAGAGGCTAACACCGATACCGAACCTGTCTGTCTATGAAAGTCTCCGGGCACCTGGGTGCGATGAACGTCAGGCTGATCGGGCACAGACCCTCTTTTGGTAAGACTCCGAAGCTTAAGAGTTTATCGCGAGATCATCATCATAGCTATATGTGTCTCGGTTTCGGTCGCAATGGTTATTCGATTCGGCGATTGGGTATGCAACGGCACTCAGATGAACAGCTGCAATTGATCTTAGTACGGATAGAGCGTTGCTATTTACAACCAATGAGATCGTCTTGTCTTCAGCGAAAGCTCCTCACAGAATGGCACGGCGTGCTGATAATCCGTAGAGAATCATGGCTCTGGCATCTAACATAAGCTGGGCAGCAGATTATTGCGCCGGTGGCTATGTTGCCCAAGCAATGCGTCTTGCTCGACATCTTCAGAGGAGCTCAAAAGGGGTAAGACACGCACGCCGTTCTTCGAGGGGCACGGAGAGGCAAGTGAATAACGAAGCATGCTTTTCCCGATTTTCCATTCGAGTGACACCTTCACCTACACGATGTTTGAATGATTCCCGACGGCTTCATGTTGAGATCTATGCTATCAAATTGGGGGGCAAGGTAGTTCGATCACGAAACGCTTCTATTGACACGGTTTCTCCGCTGCTTTAGACATACTCGAATTCCAATCCAATTTGAACACAACTCCAGCCTTTAATGCACCATGCCCTGAGTTGAGTCATTAAACAGTAGACAATTCCAAAACTTTTGTATCGTTGAGCTTTTCCATTCCCATGCTGTGCCTGCATGTGCTGTGATGATTGTTTATGACCGTTACATCGTCAAGTCATTAATGCGTTACGCATCCCTCGTGTACTCAGACTTCTGGCGCCAAACGTGACCGTATCTCATCAGAGCGATGGGAATCGGAGCCAAGAAGATGCTACCGACGCCCAAAACAGTGAAAGCCCAACCGTAGCCAAACGACTCAATCAAGGGGCCGGTGGTGAGGGGGAGGAAAGTGCCAGCCAAGCATCTGGTGACAATCAATCCAGTCATGGCGGACGCGCTGTACAGGCCCGCCGCATCGACGACATAGGCGGACAAGGGCAGCGAGCACATCAGCAGGAAGAAGCCTAGCACCGCGACGGAGACGAGAAGCCAGATTACGGGAAGCTTGAACTGGGCGATCCATCCGTACGCGATGATGGTCAGGGGAAGGCCGAAGGCGCCGACAATGACGAGAGGTAGTCGGTACTCGGGGCGCCCGGTTGGGTCGTTGCCACGGAGCTTGATGTAAATGCGGTCGAGGCTGAAGTTACTGACGACGACGCTGATGAACGAGCCAATGCCTAAGTCTGATTAGAAGTTGTTTCGAAAACCTGACTTTCACAATAAATGACTTACTGAATGCCATGAAAGAGAGGCCGGTCAATGTGGGCGAGAATCCGTAGATCTCCTGCAGGATGTTGGGCAGAGTGATGGACATGATGTAGAAGTATGCAAAAGTGATGCAACCAAAGAAAGACAGCGCAAGCAAGGCGCTGGACTTGAACAAGACCGTACCAGGCCTTTTGATCGACTCCCACAACTTCAACATGCTCTTGTGGTCATCCACGCCGGCCGGGTGAAGCGGAGCTCCAGATTCATGCTGCGCCTTGGCGGCGCGCCGTCTCAGAATGGTCATCTTGTACGTTTCCGTGAAGAAGAACAGGAACAGCACCTCGCACGTGGCGGCCAGGCCAGCGCTCATCCACAGAACACGTCTCCAACCCAGAGTCTGGGCAATGACGCCGCTGATCATGGGGCCGACGGCACCACCGATCAATGGTGCGAGTGAGACCATGCTCATGGCAGAGCCGCGCTGGTCAGCCTCGAACATGTCGCCGATGATGGCCGGGCTGAGGACATTGGTAGCAACAGCAAGGCCGGTGAGGGCGCGAGCACTGATGAGGAGCGGTGTGCTGGTGCTCAAAGCAGCGAGGATGGTGGCCGTCACGAAGAGGATGTTGGCGGCGTTCAAGACCGGTTGACGGCCGTAAATCTCGGAAAGGGGCGCGATGAGTAGGGGGCCGGCGGCCTCGCCCAATTCCCAGATGGTGACGAGCAGAGCGCTGGCTGGTGAGTTGGTGCCGTCGTCATGGTCGAGGTCACCAATGATGTGCGCAGCGACAGGGACGACTGAGATGCAGGTAAAGGTTCTGCGAGCGAGTTAGCGGACGAGGCCAAGGAACAGGCTGCTGGTTGAAAGTTGAACCGCAGTGGGTGGTGTCTCATACACAGTGAACGCCATACACGCCAGCAGACCGACTATGGTCCACTTGAAAGCCAGCGGCCACTCCCTCGGGTTTTCAGAATCGCCATTGGGGTCGAAGTCGAGCAGGTGCTTTGAAACGTCTTCCTCGCAGAGAGGATCCTCGAGAAGGGGCTGACTTTCGGCCATATTTGACGTGTTTTCGAGGTGGTGATGAGTACCTTGAAATGAAGTCGGTGATCGCTCACTGGGCGGCTGGTGAGGAAACAGCGGCAGCGGAGGCAGATGCAGTGGGCAGCAGCTGCACCTTGAAAGGATTGAAGATCCGCTTCAACGTCAACAACGCCTTTGCGTGCTTGCCCCACGGTGCTTGGTCATTGCCAGACAAAAATTTGATGGCCGCGGTCGGGAAGGTGGGTGGCAATTGATTGCAATAGCGGGGCGCCGGCGCCGGCCGAGGGGCTGGGCCGTCAGTGCCACAGCACACACGTGACATCCGCTTTGTGCCATTGTGTAAGGAAGCACCATATTGGCGTGAAATGCTCGCTAATCTGGCGGTGGATCTCATGCGAGCATTGTTGGCTGCCTGGACTTCGTTGTTCAAGAAGAAGACGCCTCTAAATAACCGAAGATCGCAAACCTTATCAAGACCCTGGAATTCCAGTAAAAAGCCGTTGATGACTCTGGAATCTGTTTCGCCAATCTCGGCGATTGGTCGTACAATGTTTCCTCTTTCGGACAAGTGCGGGGTCGGTCTCCGATGTCGTCCCCACTAATTGGAGCTTCCCCGGCCGGCTGACGGCGGCTGAAAGATCCCCCGCGGGTCTCACTCCCGAATCTGACGCCGGCTCCCACCTTCAACTGCGCCTTTTGAGCAGCATGACTCCGTCAAAGTGCGCGGTATATGAATCGGTTCTTTCCAGAGCTGCATCTGTTGGGAAAGTCTGGATTTGGGCCGAGTTTGAAGTCTATGCACCGGTACTCAACTTGATTGGCCAATTCGACACCCCAGCCATTACGCCATCCTCACGCTGGATTGTCTGAGCAACAATCCCTGAACTGCAGCCATGAGCATCCCTCAGCTTCGTGCGCCATCGGTGGATGAACTTCGGAAGTTCTACGTGGGAAAGAAGATCGACGACGTTCCAAAACCTGCAGTCGTTCTCGATGTAGCCAAGGCAAAGAGACACTGTCAGTCTATGCTTGATGCCGCCAAGGCTCTCGGGGTGGGCTTCAGAGCTCATGTAAAGACTCATAAGGTCAGTGGAACTCGAAAACCTGCACAGCAAGCTGCTTTGAAGTATCTCAGTCTAGTTCTAACTGGAAACTAAGACTACTCAACTTGCAAGGCTTCAAGCAGGCGAAGACTCGCCGGAGGTGAAGCTCGTGGTCTCCACCATTCCCGAATTAGAACATCTACTTCCCCTTCTCAATGAATTCAAGGACAACGGCCGGCAGGTCAACGTTCTTTATGGCATTCCTCTCCCGCCGTCACAAGCCACCAGAGCCGCGGAACTGGCGCGCGAGCTCGGTCCCGGTACCATTACCTTCATGATCGACCACCCGACCCAGCTCGATGCTGTTGTTCACTTCTCGCGAAAGGCTGGATTTGCTGCTGGAATCTATCTCAAGGTCGACACTGGCTATCACCGCGCAGGCCTGCCACCGTCAAGTCTCAACAAGAATGACTTGATCGCAAAGGTCATGCAGCTCGAAGCTGACGGGAAGGCGACTTTGACCGGACTGTACTCTCATAGTAGTCTAAGCTACTCTGACACTGGCGCTAAGCAAGCCATGGATAATCTGGCAGGGGAGATCAAAGGCTGTGTCGATGCACTCAAGAGCAATGCCCAGCACTTCCACAAAGACAAGAAGCTGACCATCAGCGTCGGTGCTTCACCACAAGTGACCGCCGTCCAGAACTTCGCTGGAGCCAATGCGACGCAGAACCCTGACAGCGAGTCCCTCCGAAGTACAATCCAGGAAGTCACCAAGGGCGAGCTACTTGGATTTAAGGTTGACCTCGAGCTTCATGCCGGTGTCTACACCGTTCTTGACAACCAACAACTCTCGACACACGCTAGAACGTTCCTCGGAGACGTCGAGGACGAAGTCGCCATCTTCGTCGCGGCCGAAGTTTGCAGCGTCTACAACGATGGTGAACGTCAGCAGCCCGAAGCACTCGCTGCAGTCGGTGTGCTTGGACTTGGCAGAGAGCCGTGTCCTTCCTACAAGGGGTGGGGCGTTGTCAGTCGCAAGTCATATGCCAAAGACGTCGAAACCCATCATCGACTTGTTGTAGGAAGGGTCAGTCAAGAGCACTCTATTCTCACTTGGAATACTGAGTTAGAAGGCAGCGGCAAGGAACAGCTGCCGCCCGTACCCCTCGAAATTGGACAGAGTGTCTGCATCTACCCCAATCATGCATGTGTAGCAGGAGCCATGTACGGCTGGTATTTGGTGGTCGACTCTAGCACAGGAGAAGAATCTAAGATTGTAGATGTCTGGGTGCGCGCATCTGGGTGGTAGAATTCGGGCCAGTCCCTCTGGCACAAAGTCCAACAAGTTTCTCTACACAGAAAGCAGTCTCTATCTTGATCGTACCAATCGCCTTTTGGATGCTGGTTCAGCTGAGCGACCTGTGCTACGCTGACAGCATCACGCTGACTGCATCTGTATTCAGCTTCACCCCTCTTTTCGCTGTCGATATTGTAGAGCCTGCCTCTTGATTGCGCCAATAATATGAGACTTGGCATATTGCCCAGGCTGTGATCCCCCTCGAAGAACTGGTATTAAGTCAGTCCTGGTGCCAAAACGATCTCGCACCCTGATATCCTCCTCGCACACATTGTCGCCCTTCCAATCTTCTGTCCCAGTCGTTAAGTAATTTTTCTCCCTTCGATTTTCACTCGTGAAGACAGGACCAATGGACGTTCTGTGTCCTTCATGTGAGAGTATGCTTGGCCTCACCGATACACAAAATCACAGGCGTTGGAGAAACAAGATCGAGATCAACTTCGATTCTTGGTCTAAGAACGCTCTCGCCAGTACTTGTCGCCTTTGTACATTGCTGTTCTATGCAGCAGCCGGTCCGAATCACAAGCGATTTTTCGAGACTCATGCAGGTGCCACGTATCAACTCTCGGGCATTGGCTTAGGTAGTCAGGACGTCCTCGGATTTACTGACACCAACGGGAATAACTTCAAGTATCTGGCGGTAGTCACAACGCTGCGACCGGACTCTCATAAACGTATGGAAATATTCCCGAAGAAGAGAACACACTGACTTCTGGATATCTGTCTTAGTACTGTTATTAATCAATCAAGTCGCAGTTCGCTGTTGCAAGCAATTGGGAAAACGCATAGGAAATTACACGATGACAACAGAAACAGCCCATCAAGTTCGTCAGTGGATGATGGAGTGTTCAGATGTGTTCAAGGATGCCATCCGAATTACTCGCTGCCTTGGCTTTCGTTATCTTTGGCCTGATTCTATCTGCATCAATCAAGATAATCCTGTTGAGAAAGCCTTAGCAATTAGCCGTATGGTAAGAATCTACCAATGTTCGCAGCTCAATCTCTCGGCCACTTCAGATAGCAGCCTCATCTTTCAAAGGGACCCTAAATCAGTTGTGTCAATCCTGCGGAAAAAGAGACATCCGGATTCTCGAACTTCCAAGGATTATTGAGACTTTCTGATGGTTTCTGCCGGTCCATGGGAAACAAACGTTGATTTGGGTTCACTGAATGAGCGCGCTTGGGTACTACAGGAACGAATGCTTGCGCCAAGAGTTTTACATTGCTGCTACAATATGGTTTATGGGGAATGTCCTTGCCTTCGTTCATCTGAGGTAGATCCTTGTGGAGAAGTCGACCAAGACGCGGCGATTAACCGCCTCGACTTCCGGACCAATATTAAGAGCGACTTTGTAATGGTATCGACCAATACCGACATGGCATGCGACTCCTTATCAATGGACCGCTTGAATCTTTTTCACATTTTGGTCAGGTCGTACTATTTTCCCCAGAGATTGACATACTCTCGGGACCGTCTACCTGTCATATCAGGGATCGCGAGGTGGTTCATGGAGCGTGCGAACCTCCCTCCTGAGAGCTACCTTGCGGGTCTCTGGCAAGATGCACTACCTGATTGTCTTTTGTGGCATTTCTTTGATCCCCCAACAAGTGGAGCAGTCCGCGATCTGGAAGCCGCACCTTCATGGTCGTGGGCAAGCGTGATATCCAGCAACTCCATAATTTATGGAGATATGAATATGAACAGAGCCCGCGCTCTATTCCAGAATATGCAACCCATCATAATACCAAAGGACAGTGACCGTTTCGGACAACTTGAAATTGCGACTCTGCGGTTAGAAGCGAGCATAATACCTAAGGTATTGAACGCGAATGGAGAAACGGTGCTCCACACATGCGTTTCCCAGGGGAAAATAAATGGTATCCGGAATCACACGTCCATCGGTCACCTAAACCCACAACAATAAGAGAGCACATTAGGGACGGAATTCATCGAATCATATTAAACCTTATGTGTCGTTTCGAGACCGAAGACTCCGACAGATTCTTCACCTTTCTTTTGCGGCAACTCAACAGCATTGTACCCACCAGCTCATGCATACAGACGAGATGGGACACGACGGATATGCTCTGGGCAGAGAAGACATCATATTGTCCACGTCAACTTTACATGCTCCCCATTGCTTTGGATTGTGGTACGGAGCTAAGTTGGACAAAAGTCCGAGGAATCAGATAATCTAGGGCCTGATGCTCCATAGGCTTCCGGGCAAGGGTCATTACGGAAGGGTTGGGATGTTCATGACTGGACTTTATGAGCATTTCGAAACCCAGAGCTTTCAGAGGCTATCCCGGGTCTCATGCCTAAGCAGGCCTCGCCAACTTCTCGATTGAGGATTCGACCCTGTCAGGAAGTTTGTGGAGAAGAACATGCCAAGCTTTTCTTAGTCTTTTCCGGCCACGCGTCGAGCAGGAGGATCCAGAGATATTGCAGGCTTGGATGGATCCGGATGGTTACTTAGACATCAGTGACAGCGTACTACATCTCATCGAAATTCTCTAAGCTTGCATGGGGCACCTGCATGGATTCGATCTGAACCTTCTCTCAACATCTGCCGAGAGCTCCTAGAAAGAAGTCTAAAGAGAAGAAAACACATAGGCAAGCTGTCTGATATTGATGCTGGATTCATGTTAGTATCAAGAACTTGACGTGATACAATCCCAAGTTTATCTCAAAAGTGAGCGAAGGGGTAGGGAAAGGCGGTGGAAGTCATTTGGTCTTTTCTCCTCAAACAGATGCTCTCAGTGGATATTTTCTGCTGTGTATGTACTCATTTCTCAACTCCGTTCTTGTTTTCCAGTACGAAATCCACTACTGAAATCTTACACCTGAAGTTGGAGCTTAAGGAACATCCCAAGTCTCAGGCTGTCGTAAAGACGCAAATCTGGCCCTTGGAAAATTGGTAAAAGAGAAACGAAAACTCTCCTTACCCACTCTGCAGTGTTCTTAGGACACCAGTCTCGATACAGTTTCCACTAAAAGTTTTCTCCGTCCTTTGGGTTTGCAAATTTATGCAGGCGTTCGTAATTCATGCATTAGTCTAGATATATGATATATCGATAATGCTTTTTCATGTTGCCTTCATTTATGCGAAGATATATGTCTATATTAAGGCGATATAGTAAACCGATGAAGATAGGATTCTTACACATTCCGAGGAAGCGTCTCTCTCTCCTCTTCGCGACCATATTTCGGGGCCCGATGATGTCCGCATCCTGCGCGCTCGATTCCGTATTCGTATTCTTCGTCCACCGTCTCGGCGGAAGACGCCAATTTTACCGTTGTTGTTTTCATGCTACAGATAAATTTGTCAGCTTCTGACGTTAGATCAAAATGACCACATTGAAGTTCTTATTCCAAGGGACAATCTTTTGCATTAGAGCGTCGTGGATATAAGCGAGGAGCATCGCCGCCAACAAAGGGAGACTGTGGCACAGCCAACCCTCGTAACGTTCCTGCAACATCTTCTGAGCCGACACAATGAGTGCGACGAAAACACAACAAACTTTGCCATCAGCTATTCAGGCACTAGTTGACAAGGAAGAAATTCGCTCAGTCATCTATCGTTTCGCTCGGGGCTCAGACCGCGGCATCCGCGACCTCGTTCAGTCGGTCTTCCATCCTGATGCGACAGATAACCATGGATTCTACAACGGACCAGCAAAAGACATGTACGATGCGCTGAAGGCAGGACCCTCCCCAGACGCAGCCCATCACCACATTGGACAGTCTCTGATTGAGCTCGGAGACGACGGGATCACGGCTGCTGCAGAGACGTACTGCATTGCGACGACGGTCAATGCTGTCGATGGCAAGGATAACTGGGTCACGTTTCTCGTGAGGTATATCGACAGCTTTGAGAAGCGAGAGGGAGAATGGAAGATCAAAGACCGGGTTTTGGCATTTGATGGGGTTTCTGATGGCAATGTGTTGAAGAAGTTAGGGGCAGAGAGCCTTGGGCGGAGGGATGAAAACGATTACTCGCGGAAGGTTTTGCGGGACTAAGTTTAGAAACTAGCGAACTTTGATAAATTGGTCAATTGCATCACACCCATCCATCAAGTGCGTGAACTACACCAAGGCAATCACGCATGTGTTCAAGATTGACAACGGCTTATGGTCAGGTAATCGTTGCATTTGATAGGGGACTAGCCACTAGAAAGTAAAAACCGGAAGTTAAGAAGTAACTTGTTCATTGATTGACGTCTAAGCTACTCTTGGAAAAACGCTGAAAGGCAGATAGGCCGTAATGCTAGGTTGCTGCCGGAGGGCATCCTGACCTCTGATGTGAACCACAAATGGTATTGCATCATCCTCCGACATCCCTAAAACCGCGAGATACCATTCCCACTACCAAACACCGCCGCAAAGGTTCGTGCACTAAGCAAACGCTTAGTTGAGGAGGCCGCAGATGAGGCCGCCAAGGTTGAGCTTGTCGAGGACACCGCCGACAATGCCGAGGACGGTGGGCAGAAGGCCGCTGAGGACCTCGAGGAGCAGGTTGATGACACCGCCGAGGAGGCCGAAGACAGTCTGGAGGAGACCGTCGACGATGACGTTGAGGGTGGTGAGGAGGTGGACGATGACGCTGAGGAGGAGGAAGACAAGGGGACCGAGGAGCTCGAAGATGCTGATGGTGAGGACCTTGAGGACGTTCTGGAGAGTGTAGATGATCTCGAAGACGAGCTCGAGAACAAGGCTGATGATCTGCTGCTTCTCCTCCTCGACGATCTCGACAGTGTTCTCGAGGAGCTCGACGACCTCAGAGACGAGGGTGCTGATGAGGCTGACGATGACGGTGACCTCGCTCTTGACGGTCTTGATGATGGTCTCCTTCTTGGAGGAGATGCAAGGGCCGCAGACGCCGGAGACGGTGGAGTTGATGGCGGTGGTGTGCTTCTTGACCTCGACAATGGTGGTCTGCATCTTGGTGATGATGACCTGCTCGGCGCGGGCGTCGATGATGTTGCCGACAGGGACCTTGGACTCGACGGTGCTCAGGGCAGAGCCGACGGGAACCTTGGACTCAACATTGTTGAGGGCTCCGGCAACGGGGACCTTGGATTCGACGTCAGAGACGGAGGTCTCGATCTCGTTGTTGATGGCGGGAGCCGCCAGGGTGGTGGCGAAGATAGAGCCGATGGCGAGGATGTTGGAGAATCTCATTTTGGCGGTTTTGGATTATGAATAAGAATTAAGGAACGAATGTGATTGTAAGTTGTTGGTAAAGAATGACGAGCTTGCGCTGGAAACCAGAAAGGAGTGACTGGGTGAGGATGCTGATGATGGAGAAGAATGGAGCGTTTGGAGAGATCAATTTGTCTCCTTAAGTACGCGATGGTCTCTATGTTGGCCCAAGAATCATCCTCTATCAAAAGGCTAAAGGGGCATGGCAGTCAAGGGATCGTACCCCAGCTTTTGCCTATGCCGAACGCAATTATCAATTGACCGGGTTTATGACTCTCAACAACTTCCCGTCGACGAGGATCGCACTCCATACTTCCTCTTTGGGTTGCACATCATGATCAATTCGGGTTGACAGGGCAGTTGGCTTTGGAGACCCCTTGCGTTGGGTTGGGTCCCACGAACCGGGGGTCTGTCCGGGTTTGCCGTTTAGGAACTGGCTTTGCACGTCAAAATGGAAATTCTTCGCAACTCCCGCAAACAAGGTTTCTGTTTCAAAGGTTATCCGCTAGTGAGCTGTCAGAATAAGCCACCAAGATCCGATACCAAACCGACCCCTCGGGAATATTCGAATATTCGCGCACAGCTGGGAGAAGCTCTGCATTCAGCTTTGAGGCTCTGACATGGATTCCATCAAATCAGCGCGCCGATCTAAGCTTACTCGAAATTTCACTAAATCAAATGGTTTGCGAAAAGACGTGACAAAGTGTTGGTGCTCTGACGCTCGGAGAATTCTGATCTGCAGGTCCGCAATAGTTGACCAGGGTCGTAGAAGATCATCATTAAAGCCACGAACTAACACGGAATTCGATGGGGGCCAACGAGCAAACATCGCGTTAAAAAGCGGCAGTCACGGGAGCGGTGAAAGCCCACCGATAGATCATCATTTTGGGCATGCTTGTTCAAAACTCC